CCTGCTCCCCCCAACTCCCCCTCCCGATCCCACCCCCAAAGAACCCCCTCCAATCCCGACTCCCCTGCATTCCCCCCCCACCACGCTGCGCCCAACTGATATCCCCCCCAACTATTATTCCTATCATCACTAATTAGGACTATTACCCTTATAGAAGTTATAGTACTATTGGATAGCTCACATAGATAGGCTCGCTTCTTCCTAAGAAAAAAATTTTCAGATATCATTTTTAAAATCCTCCCCCCCCCCCAAAAAAAAAAAAAAATGTCTTTCAAAATTCATTCGGAATAACTTTAATTAATTTGGAATTTGTAATTTTTTTGATATCTCAAACTCTTCAATCACTTTACTTTCCAATTACAAACAATATTAATTCGGCAATTAATCAAATTTCTTCAATTTTCAATCTTTTCGTTACATTTCTCCCCTTTAGAATCCATCAATATTAATTCAAAATTAACTCAAAATAACTTCCAAATTATTTTGGAATTTCAACCTTTTTCTTTTTTTGATGTTTTTCTTGCAATATATATTTTGTTTTTTTCATCTCCTTTCTACCATTAATTCTTTTGAAATAAATCTAATTAATCCGAGATTCACAAATATTTAATCAGTTCTTTTCTTTCAAAATTTCACCTTTTTAATTGTACTGTTGTAAAATACTAAAATGTGTTTCTGAACTCATCAATTATTTTCGAATAAATATTAAATTCAATTAATCCACGTCGAAATTAATTTTTATATTTGGAATTAATTATCCTTTTTTTTTAATTTCAACATTTTCCTTTTATAAAATCCCTGCAAATATATATTTTTAAAGTCACCAATTATTTTTGAATAAACTCCATTAGCTTAGAATTAAATACGAAATTAATATTTGAAATTAATCCCTTCTTTTTCCCCCCTTCATTTTTCAATAAAATTTTCAAAATTCTCTTTCTTTTGTAACCAAAAAAAGAAAAAAAACCGTCAACCCCCCTTCCCCTGCCTTCACACCCCACCCCCCCCGGGCATGAAGCGCCAAACCAACACCGCGAAAAGTTGTTGAAGTCGTTGTCGCCTCATCCACTGATGCCCCTTCCGCCGCTGCCATCGCCACCACAGCCGCATCACCCCCCCTCCACCCTCATGGCTGAGTCTTCCAGTATCAACATGTCCCCCATGCACACCCAGTCCGTTAGTAGTCTCGCCCGTAAACTTGCAGGCGGACAACGAGTCGGCCCCGCCATCGCCACCGACCTCTCGGCCATCCTCTGAATGCTCTCCAGCATACAAACCACTGTTCAAACCTCCCTCACCGACATGCAAGCCACTATCTCCGCTCTCTCCAACTACATGACCGCCTTCGAGCAACAAGCTCCGACCATCACCGTGTTAACTACAACTCCACTCCCTTCCACATCCGGACCGACCACCTCCTCACCTCCGACCTCCACCACCACGCCTCCCTCCACCTCTCCTCCTCCTTCGTCATCATCAACCACCCCGTCCTCCAGTAACTCTTCCCCACCCCCGACTTCTTCCACTTCCATCCGCCCACATTCCATCTCACCTTCTTTCGCATCACCACACCCCCCGACTCTACCCTTGACATTCCCTACTTTCCTCACCCTACCTTCCAACCTTCCATCACTCCCCACAATTTCTCCACATGGTTTGTCACAACCCGGCTCTACCTATTATTGTCTTGTCCTTGACCATGAGAGTCCTGAGGACTTGCTTCCGATCGACAAACCCGACCAAGCTCCCCCTTCATAACCCGCTCTTACCTCTATCCTCGAGGAGTTCAAGGACATCTTTCCCGAGTCCTTGCCCGCCGGATTACCTCCGGATCGTGGTGTCTCTCATACCATTGATTTGGAAACCGATCACACTCCTCCATGTTGACCACCCTACCAGCTCTCTGTTCCCGAGGCCAGAGAAATGCAGCGACAACTCAATGAACTCCTTGAAAAAGGATTCATTAAGCCAAGCTCCTCCCCCTTCAGTACAAGTTGCCTCTTCGTCAAGAAAGGCGGAACCTTCGAACTCCGCATGTGCACAGACTATCGCACCCTCAACCGGATCACGATCAAGAACAAGTACCCCTTGCCTCGCATCTGCGAGCTTCTTGATCGCCTCCGTGGAGCCAAGTACTTCACAAAGATCGACCTTCGCATAGGCTTCAGCCAGATCCGCATTCGCAAAGAGGATCCTCATAAGACTGCCTTTTGCTCTCGCTTTGGGCATTACGAGTTCCTTGTGATGCCTTTTGGCCTCACAAATGCCCCAACGACCTTCCAGTCTATTATGAATCACATCTTTCGTGCCCTTCTCAAAGTTCGTGTCATCGTTAGTCCCACCTTTGAGTCTCACCTTCAACACATTCGCCAAGTCCTCTCTATCCTCAAAGATCGAAAGTTCTACGACAAGCTCAGCAAATGCACTTTTGTTGCCTCAAGCGTAGAATATTATATCCGTTGATGGTATCTGCATGGACCCCTCGAAGGTCACCGCTCTTGTCGAATTTCCCCCACCTACGACCTTGCTGCAGCTTTGTTCCTTCCTCGGTCTTGCCAACTACTACCGCCCCTTCATCCGCGACTTATCCGAAATCTCCTACCCCCTCCTCCACAAGCTCACTCGCACGAACGAGCCTTTTGCATGGAACGAACGTCGCCAAGCCGCCTTTCCTCCTTAAAGAAGTCATTACCACAGCCTTTGTCCTCAGATTGCTGACCCCTCTCGACACTTCTATGTTACCAATGATGCCTCAAACTTTGCTATTGGAGCCGTTCTGTCCCAACACTTTCCCGCGACATCCCGGACCCCCCCTGCATCAAGGATTCCCCCCCCCACTCTGAGGCTCCACCCGACGAGTATCCTATCGCATTTGCAAGAAAGAAGCTCATCACGCAGAGATGAATTATCCCTCCAATGAGAAGGAACTCCTCGACGTCATCCATGCCCTCAAAGTCTAGCGCCCATACCTCGAGGGTCAGCACTTCACTATCCGCACCGACAACACCATTGTCTCAAGCATACTCACCAAGAAAGATATCACACCCTGCCAAACTCGATGGTTATACTTTCTCGCCCTGTTTACATTTACCATCTATCACACCCCCGGCAAAAGCAACCGAGTCGTTGATGCCCTCTCTCGACGACCCAACCACAAGCCCCTTGAGAAAGTCTACGCTACCATGACTCATTTCAGCTCCTACCTTCACTCCACCACCGCTATACTCACGGTTACTCTTCATGCCCCGATTTCTATACCATCTACAACAACCTTCGCGACCTCGACACCGTCCCCGACTACTCCCTCCACGACAACCTCTTGTACATTTAACACTAAAGGCACTCGCCGACTCCGTATCCCTGATGCACATGGTCTTCGTACCCAACTCTTGGTCGAACACCACAACGGCAAGACCACACGACACCTTGATTTCCATAAGACATTTGACACGGTCTCTTGCTACTTCTACTAGCCCTCACTCCTCGCCGACGCCAAAGCATACATCCGATCATGCCCCCTCGAAACAGGCCAAGCCTGGCAAGCTCCAATCATTGCCCATCCCCACCCATAGGTAGCAGTCCATCTCTATGGATTTCGTGCGCGGTCTCCCCAAGACCGACCGTGGCTATGACTACATCTACGTCATTGTTTACCGCTTGACCAAGCGGGCCCATTTCATCCCTTGCACCACTTCTTACAATGCCAAAGACGTCGTCACACTCTTCTTTGATCATGTCGTATGCGATCATGGTCTCCCCGAAAACATCATCAGCGACCGTGATCCTCGCTTCCTTTCCCAATTCTGGAAAACATGTTCAAAGCCTACGACACCACTCTCAAGTACAGCACTGCATTCCATCCCCAGACCGATGGCCAGACTGGAAAGATGAACGATACTCTGCAAAGGATCCTGCGGAAGTATTGTCATCCACACTAGCATGACTGGGATCAATTGCTTACCGCCATCGAGATTGCCTACAACAACGTTATCTGCCCTTCCACTGGCATGTCCCCATACTACCTTGACATTAGCTACCATCCCCGCTCGCCCTCAAACTTCTTGCTCCTCCTCGGAGAAGCCACTGACGCCCTTGAGCAAACCCAACAACAACAAGCCAAYAAGACCAACAAACACAGACGAGAGATCACATTCAAAATAGGGGACAAAGTCTAGCTCTCCGCCAAACGCTTTGAACCCCAACACGGCTTGTCCAAGAAACTCTCAAACATGTGGCTCGGTCCTTTCCCCGTCATTGAACAAACATCCCCTGTAAATTACAAAATTCAACTACCCCCTAACACGAGTCGTGTTCACCCTGTCTTCCATGTCGAGTACTTAAAAGAATACCATGAATCGCCTTCACAATTTGCCAACCGCCCGTATCCTAGACCTCCACCAATCATGCTACCTACCGGGCCAGAATTCGTGGTAGAATCTATCATAGGACGAAGAACAACTCAAGTATCCGATCACCCGGAACCAATCACTGAATACGAAGTCAAATGGACCGGATACCCAGATGAAGAATTGGCATGGGAACCCCTCGATAATCTCAAGAACGTCATGAAACTTGTTCGTGCCTATGATCGTGCTCACCCTGTATCCTAGCTATATACTACGCATAACACCCATATACCCTGCATAAACCCTGCCTCATTGCTCTACACACACGCCCTGCACCCAACAAAACCTCTGCCCCTCAACGTCTCTCTGTCTGATCCGCTCTTGCCTCCGTCTCGTTCCCCAATCTGTCCTCCGCCACATCCTCTGTCTCTCTTGTCCAAGCCTTACCTGTGGCTCTGAGCATCGCCAGCGATAAAGGATCTAATGGCAAGAACACCAGGACGATGGCCCGCTGCAGCACAGTTCGAGGAGATTAAGCAGCTGGTTGGCCACCATGCTGTCCCGTTGGTCGGCACCTGGAATCGCAGACTTTTTGAGTAGCACTCTTGACATGGACATCAGGATCAGTCTGCGCCATGCTCTCCGGATCAGACTCCATCATCAGGATTGTGTACCGGACGCACCCTGGCACTTCGACCTCCATCTATGGGACAGCTGCATTACTTCTTTCAAGTCGGAAACCTCGCTACTACACGTTGCAAGCCTGCTGAAGACTGGTTTATCATCAGCATTCTGTCTATCCATACCAGGACTTACTTCAAGACCTGCTTCAAGCCTCTCACCCAGACCATTTTGCAGAACCTGCAATTTCCTCCCCCACCCCATTTACTTCGAGATCCTCAGAAACCCCAGGAACCCCCGAACCCTGCAAAAAAATCTTCCTTTCTTTATTTTTGCTCACAGCACCTTTTTGCCCAACGTAACCCTGTAGTTCACCTGTACGACAACCTTGTTCCCCCGCAGATCATAACCCTGTAGTCCATCCGTAGGACAACCCTGTTACCCTGCAGTTCCTAACCCTGTAGTTCATTAGTAGGCAAACTTTGCTCCCTCTTGGTTCACAGCTCCATAGCCTATCAGTACGCATACCCCATAGCTCATCAGTAGGAAAACCCTGTTTCTCCCAGCTGTTGCTGCTAGCCCATCAGTGCGCATACCTGGTAGCTCATCAGTAGGAAAACCCTGTTTCCCCCAGCCCTTGCTACCCACATTATACCCCTTCCCCTTTTTCTTCCTGGTTCTCAGTGATCGGCCCCGTCCGGTCCTTCACAGGATTCAGCATTATTTTGTTTACTTTTGGCAGCCGGGACGTTGCCTTCAAGAGGGAGGGGATAGTGTTACGGACTCCACCAGGGCTCGATCCCTGGTCTGCGGGGTACCACCTGCCCACCTTGCTGTATTTGTTTTCTTGTTTTTGTTTTGCGATTCTTTTTGTTTTTGATTCTTGCTTTTCTGATTTCGGACAGTTGGAGCCATCTGCATTCTGGCAAATTCCTTCTTTTGGGACTTTCGGATTTCGGACACTTGGCGCCATCCGACATTCTGGCACCCACTCTCAGACTTTCGATTCTCAATTCTGGCCCTGAGGCATTTTCACTTTCACCCTCAGGACCGTACTCGAGTCCGGTACTTATGTACGGACTCAAGCCCAGTACAGGCACCAAGTTTTCAGCCTCAGTGCTTGTGTTCAGTGTGACTTTGCTTCGACATTGTGTTCGGGAATTCAAGACTGTGACTTTGCGACTTTTGCCACTTCGTGTCTGCGTCCATCAAGTTGTGTCGAGTCTGCGTCGAGTTGAGTGAGCGTGTGTGTGTGCTCTCTCCCGCTCTCTCCCAGCCTCGCTGCTCTGCCTCTACCTCGTCACAGTATGGCTTTTTTTTCTGAAGCGCCCCCAGCAGATGCTCTGCAGGGCTCTTACATCTCAGCAGAGACACTCCACAAATTCCGGATGAGCGAGGAGCAGGCCAGCAATATATCTTCTGTATCCGAATTCAGGTCTGTGTTCCAACAGTTATGGGCTACAACTACTTACTGCCGTACCTCTATTTCTTTCTTTTGTTATCCTTTTCCTACGAGCAGAGGCCCTAAGGGCCTGGCTCCACTCGTCACCACTTGCACAAAAGACAAAACATATGGCGGCATATGATTCCATGTTCTAGCAGAAGATTCATTCTAGTTTTGTACATTTGGTGAGTAGTGGAGGGAAGCCCTGAAAATCACGTGGTGAGTTGGTCTGCTACTGCCCAGATAATCACGTGCTCCGTGCTCCCCTAACTGCTGACACACGGACCTTAATGTGAATCTACAGTGCTGCTGCCCTGCAATCTGTTCGAGAAGTGCCACTTTCTTGGAGAGGAGACCCTTGCTAATTATTTGCAGGGGCCTCTAGGATTACACGCAGGGGTTTTCTGTTAAATCTTAAAAGGGCTATTTTCTCTCTCTCTCTCTCTCTCTCTCTCTCTCTCTCTCTCTCTCTCTCGCGCGCGCGCGCGCGTGCGTGGTGTTGGTGGGGTTATTAGGGGTTCTGGTCCTTCTG